CAGCAGCCAACCCACAAGGGGTACAGGAGAGGATCTGAGTGAGTACACCTGCACCCCCTGAGCGGATCGGGAAGGACCACACTGGTGGGAAACCAGATTAGCCCCCTACTACTGTTCACCCATTTAAAGGGACAGGAACCGGATCCTCTGCTCAGGGATTCCTCCACATTGTTGGGTGAAGAAGAGAAGTTCATCTGGGGTCTGGGTGGTACACTAGGAGACACTGGCTAGCTCTCCATCAGACTGTGCCGCAGAGAAGCTTGGGAATAGTTCCAGGAAGGTGTCCTCAGTTCATCGGCACCCTTGGGCATCCTGTACACCCCTCACCCTCTGCCAGTTCAAAATCCCCTCAATAAAACACCAAAACCAAAGCCCAAGGATTGATTTCTGACTCCGGATGCCATCCTGTGTGAAGATGCGTGATGCCTGGCTGTGCAGGACTATAGGGGGTCCCATCAGGAGGGGTAGCAGTACAATTATTTGCCAGGCAGGAGGTGACAGGTGCTCTTTAAACCTTTACATTGGGTTTCCTGCGCCTACTTGACTCAGATCTGCTAACTGTCTGACGAAGTGTCCCACGGCAAAGCCGCCATTGGGGACAGACAAACCATCCATTCCCCCGAATGATAGCGGCTTCCCAGCGGCCGCGGAACACGGGAAACATTTCATCCCAGATCGGAAAATTACACCATCAACGTCCTAACAGACCATGAAGGGAAGTGATTGGAGGGTGACACCACCGTATCAGCACATCAGCGGTCAGGGTTACACATCTGGAATAGACGCGGCCTTCCTGTGATGATGGGTCCTCTGCACAGCGGAAGCTTCCCGCGGATCACAGAGCGGCGGTGTCAGAAGTTCCACAGCTGGGACGGGGATGCAAATCAGCGCGGTGTCACTGAGAAGGATGACGTTCCGAGAGGCAAAGAAAATGGATCAGCAGATGGCGTAGGAAGGTTTCTTGTAAAGCTAAACTGCTGGCAGATCAAAACGGCTACAAATAGATACAGAGAGGCAGCGGCGGAGCGCGGAACCGGAACAATTCTGACCCACGGAACTTCACGCTTCTTGGTATTGATGGAGATGATATCCGCGGCTCTGCGGAGTTCTTCAGACTGCGAATCTTTATGTCGCCATGTGATCGGGGATGAGGGTTCCGGATGAATTTTGCTTTCATTGATCCCACATGGAAGAAAAATATATCTGAAATACTACAATTTTGTCCGTATTCAATGTATGTATAGATATAGTTCAATAAATAGATATAAACTGCGTGTTGGAGAAAGATTATTTACTTTTTTCTTTTATTTCATAAACACTTTTTTTTCAAAATTTTGGGACTTTTTCATTTATATAGTAAAAAAAAGTAAAAATCCCAGCGGGGAATAAATACCACCAAAATAAAGCTTTATCTGTCTTAACAAAATGCTAAAAAATTCATATGGGTACAGTGTTGCATGACCGCGCAATTGTCATTCAAAGTGTGATAGCGCTGAAAGCTGAAAATTGGCCTGGGGGGGAAAGGGGGGAAAGTGTCCGGACTGGAAGGGGGGGAAAGTGTCCGGACCGGAAGGGGGGGAAAGTGTCCGGACCGGAAGGGGGGGGGAAAGTGTCCGGACCGGAAGGGGGGGAAAGTGTCCGGACCGGAAGGGGGGGAAAGTGTCCGGACCGGAAGGGGGGGAAAGTGTCCGGACCGGAAGGGGGTGAAAGTGTCCGGACCGGAAGGGGGGGAAAGTGTCCGGACCGGAAGGGGGGGGAAAGTGTCCGGACCGGAAGGGGGGGAAAGTGTCCGGACCGGAAGGGGGTGAAAGTGTCCGGACCGGAAGGGGGGGAAAGTGTCCGGACCGGAAGGGGGGAAAGTGTCCGGACCGGAAGGGGGGGAAAGTGTCCGGACCGGAAGGGGGGAAAGTGTCTGGACCGGAAGGGGGGGAAAGTGTTCGGACCGGAAGGGGGGAAAGTGTCCGGACTGGAAGGGGGGTGAAAGTGTCTGGACTGGGGGGGGGGGAGTGTCCGGACTGGAAGGGGGGGAAAGTGTCCGGACTGGAAGGGGGGGGTGAAAGTGTCTGGACTGGGGGGGGGGGAAAGTGTCCAGACTGGAAGGGGGGAAAGTGTCCGGACTGGAAGGGGGAAAGTGTCCAGACTAGAAGGGGGTGAAAGTGTCCGGACTGGAAGGGGGGGGAAAGTGTCCGGACTGGAAGGGGGGGAAAGTGTCGGGACTGGAAGAGGGGAAAGTGTCGGGACTGGAAGAGGGGAAAGTGTCGGGACTGGAAGGGGGGGAAAGTGTCCGGACTGGAAGGGGGGGGAAAGTGTCCGGACTGGAAGGGAGGAAAGTGTCTGGACTGGAAGGGGGGGGGAATGTCTGGACTGGAAGGAGGTGAAAGTGTCCGGACTGGAAGGGGGGGAAAATGTCCAGACTGGAAGGGGGTGAAAGTGTCCGGACTGGAAGGGGGTGAAAGTGTCCGGACTGGAAGGGCGTGAAAGTGTCCAGACTAGAAGGGGGTGAAAGTGTCCGGACTGGGAAGGGGGGAAAGTGTCGGGACTGGAAGGGGGGGAAAGTGTCGGGACTGGAAGAGGGGAAAGTGTCCGGACTGGAAGAGGGGAAAGTGTCCAGACTGGAAGGGGGGGAAAGTGTCCGTACTGAAAGGGGGGGGGAAAGTGTCCGGACTGGAAGGGAGGAAAGTGTCTGGACTGGAAGGGGGGGGGGGGGGGGAATGTCTGGACTGGAAGGAGGTGAAAGTGTCCGGACTGGAAGGGGGGGAAAGTGTCCGGACTGGAAGGGGGTGAAAGTGTCCTGGGACTGGAAAGAAGGGGGGAAAGTGTCCGGACTGGAAGGGGGAAAGTGTCCGGACTGGAAGGGGGGAAAGTGTCCAGACTGGAAGGGGGGGAAGTGTCCGGACTGGAAGGGGGGGGAAAGTGTCCGGACTGGAAGGGGGAAAGTGTCCAGACTGGAAGGGGGGGAATGTGTCCGGACTGGAAGGGGTGGAAAAGTGTCTGGACTGCCGTGTAGTGGGGGGGGAGTGTCCTGTGGGACTGGAAGGGGGGGAAAGTGTCCGAACTGGAAGGGGGGGGGGGAAAGTGTCCGGACAGGAAGGGGGGGGGGGAAAAAGTGTCCGGACAGGAAGGGGGGGGAAAGTGTCCGGACTGGAAGGGGGGGGAAAGTGTCCGGACTGGAAGGGGGGGGAAGTGTCCGGACTGGACTGGAGGGGGGGAAGTGTCCGGACTGGAAGGGGGGGAAAGTGTCCGGACTGGAAGGGGTTATATTTTTACATATATTTGTAAATGCATTCCAAAAATGTAGATTACATGTACACACACACATCTTTTTTTTTTTTTTTTTATAATTAAATGAAATTGTTTTAAATAGCTCCAGTAACAATAATTGTTATTATTTTTAAGTCCTTTTATTGTATGTTGCAATTACTGTATTAAGCAGAATCCCGCTTCCATGTATAGGCTTCAATGGTATCTGTCAGATGAAGGTTTTTTTTTTTTTAATAAACTTCCAGCCTGCATGCATGTGATTACCATGTCATAGACGACAGCGGGGAATGACGGCCATGAGCTGTGCAGAGTGTTGGCTGCTGGCTGTCAGAGAGGGAATGTAGATGAACATCATTTTATGACACAGACCTGGAATTATTTAGAAAGCGATGCCACAACATTTTTTTTTTCAATGGAATCAATAGTGTCAGTATGATGTGAATTTGAAAAAAAAAGAAGCTTCTTTTTAAAAAAAAACAAAAAAAAAAAACTTACTTTAAAAAAAAAAAAAAAAAGCTTCCTTATATGTATATATTTTCTTTTAAATATATACTTTTAAATTTACAATAAAAAAATAAAGAAAAAAATAAATACAATTAAAAAAAATCCAAAAATCATTTTGGATTACATTTTTGAAGAAATTGTATTTCCTTGGATACAGTATGTTTTATAACAGAAAGTAAAAAAAAAAATTTAAAAAAAAAAAAATAATATATATATATATATATATACACACACGCAGTATATACATATTTATTACTTTTATAAATTTTTTTTTTCATATACACTTTTTATATTTAAAAAATAAAAATTAAAAAAATAAATAAAATAAAAAAATAAACCTTAGTGGCGTTCAAATACCACCGAAAGAAATCTCTATTTGTGTGAAAAATAATATAAATTACAACTGGGTATGGCGTTGCGTGATCGAGCAATTGTCAGTTAAAGTAGCGCAGTGCTGAATAGCAAAAATTGGGCTGGTCATGAAGGGGGGGGGGGGTAAAACCTTCCAGAGGTAAAGCTGTAAAAACGAAAAACAAAAATGAAGGCAGACTTGGTGCCCCCCCCCCCCCCCAGGTCTTTCTTGTGCCGCCATTTTTCTTTCTTGGGTCTCACAAAACAATCTACAAAAGAGCTGAAATTTCACTTTGAAAAGAACAAAAAAAAATCAGCAGAATTCCTTCCCGCCGATAAATTGCGCAGCTCTCCTCTCGCCCCGCGTGCGGCTCATCGCCTATCATTTCCGAAATTTCACTAAAACAATTAAAAACGGATCGGCCGAGGTCAGCAAATTCGCGCTTTCTGCGCCGCCAGAGCCATAAATGTTTTTGTTCCAATTTATGGCGGCAAAGTAAAATAAAAAAGAAAAATATTATCTATTATTCATGGCGGCGTGACCTCCGAAACGTTTTTGTGTTCCTTTTTATTTTATTTTTTTTTTTTATTACAGCGACAATAAATGGATTTCAATTTTACCGCTCGGGATTCTACAGACGGCCGGGACAATAAAAGGGTTGTGATTGGTTGTTGTTTTCCCGGAAATAAGTACTGAACTCTGAGTTACATTGTTCTGCCGGAACCCTTAAAGCTGAACTCTGGCCCCCCCGTCAGTCTGTGTACAGGTGGCCCGGCTCCTCCCCCTCAGTCTTGCACAGGTGTACCGCTCCTTCCCCCTCAGTCTTGCACAGGTGTACTGGCCCTCCCCTTCCAGTCTGGCACAGGTGTACCGGCTCCTCCTCCCCTTCAGTCTTGCACAGGTGTACCGGCTCCTCCCCTCTTCCAGTCTTGCACTGGTGAACCAGCTCCTCCCTTCAGTCTTGCACAGGTGTACCGGCTCCTCCCCTCAGTCTTGCACAGGGTGTACCGGCTTCCTCCCCCTCAGTCTTGCACAGGTGTACTGGCCCCTCCCCTTCAGTCCTGGCACAGGGTGTATCCCTACGGGCTCCTCCCCTCTGTCTTGCACAGGTGTACCGGCTCCTCCCCTCCAGTCTTGCACAGGTGTACCGGCTCACTCCTCCCCTTAATCCTGCTCCTGCACATGCGGTATATTGGCTCCTCCCCTTCACTCTTATGCACATGTATATTGGCCTCTCCCCTTCAGTCTTGACAGAGTTTTACCTGCTCCCAGTGCATCCCGAGGCAGGTGTAGGGGGTGTTTCCCCACACTTTTGCAATTGCTCCCCCCGCACTTTTGCCATTGTTTCCCCTCCCCCGCACCTTTGCCATGTTTCTTCCGCACTTTTGCCATTGTTCCCCCTCCCGCACTTTTGCCATTGTTTCCTCCTCTCCCCCCCCCCCCCGCACTTTTTGCCATCATTGTTCCCCCCCCGCACCTGCCCCGGCAACTTTTGCCATTTCCCCCCCCCCCCGCACTTTTGCCATTGTTCCACCCCACGTTTGCCATTGCCCCCCCCCAGCACCTTTGCCATTGTTTTTCTCCCGCACTTTTTGCCATTGTCCCCCCCACACGCACTTTTGCCCATTGTTCCCCCCCCACAACCTTTGCCCTTGTCCCCCCCCCCGCACTTTTGCCATTGTTCCCATGACCCGCACGTTTTGCCATTGTCGCCCCCCCCCCCAGCACCTTTGCCATTGTTTCTCTTATCCCCGCACTTTTGCCATTGTTCCCCCCCCCCCCCGCACTTTTGACATCGTTCCCCCTGCATGTTTGCCATTGTCGATCCCCCCCCCCCACAACCTTTGCCATTGTCCCCCCACCCCCGCACTTTTGCACATTTGACAGTCGTTCCCCCTGCAATGTTTGCCATTGTCCCCCCCCGCACCTTTGCCATTGTTCCCCCCCCCACAGGGCACTTTTGCCATTGTTCCCCCTGCTCTTTTGCCATTGTCCCCCCCCCCCCCGCACCTTTTGCCCTTGTTCCCCCCCCACACTTTTGCCATTGTTCCCCCTGCTCTTTTGCATTGTTCCCCCCCCCCACACCACCTTTGCCATTTGTTTTCTCCCCCCCCCACCAGACCCCCTTTGCCATTGTTCCTCCCCCCCCCCTCGCCTCCACTTCCCCCCATTACTTTGTATTCAGTAAATGAAATAAAAGGTTTTCCAAGCAATAACTGTGATATCCGATCGGCGAGGAGGACAGACACGTTCCATTCAGAGGTAAGTGCCGGGACGCGCCGCTCCACGAAACCCACATATTATTGTCCTCGTCTTTTCCGCCTTTCCAGAGTGTCGACATTTCCCCGCGATTGCGGCAGAACGAGCCGCTCCTCCAGCAGGTATTTATCTAAGAAAGTGCCCATTATTTCATATCATTTGTTTTAGCCGAGCGAAAATCTAATTACGCCCGGCGTCTGCGGCATCCGGAATCATTTCATTTTCCGCACCCACCTTTGAGAGCGGCGCCTGAACTTTCTCCTCGTCGGAGTTACATCAGAACCGCAGACATTTCAATTTACGAAGGTCGCAGCGTGAAGCCAAAAAAAAAAAAAAAAAAAACAGAATCATCTAAATTGTGTTTCTTATTTATTGTTTTAAAAATCCATTTGCGCCCCTCGGGATGTATTAAGCGGGCGTCCTGGTAACAGCGGCGGGATCCGGGCGACTTCTGCGCTCCCAGAATCGCATCGCTGGCTGAACGCTGGAAATGGAAACATTAAACAAGAAAACAAGAAATAAATTGAATGCGGTAATTAGCATCGCGAGGTGAATGCGCAGAGCGCCCGGTAATTGGAATTAATCATTTTCATATCAAACGTTACATTCGCTTAGACAAAGTTTAACTCGCATCACTGGAGGAAAAAAAGAAAAAAAAGGACTTCGGGGACTTAAAAAAGGAAATTTAAAAAGGAAATTCTAAAAGGAAAAGAAAAACACGAAAGAAATCCTTTCCTTTCCCGCAGATATACATTTTATACATCACATGGGATTCCCAAAGCACTATGGGTAAGCCAAAGAGCAAAAGAGAAGCAGCCCGTCCTGTGGATGTCTTGTTCTCTGATTGACCTTTGACCCGAGCCTTCTGGTAAGCCCAACCCCAGCATCCCTGTAGGTGGAGTTTTAGTCCCGGGGGAGGGGACGGATGGACGGCCTTCTGGTAAGCCCAACCCCAGCATCCCTGTAGGTGGAGTTTTAGTCCCGGGGGAGGGGATGGATGGACGGCCTTCTGGTGAGCCCAACCCCAGCATCCCTGTAGGTGGAGTTTTAGTCCCGGGGGAAAGGGGACGGATGGACGGCCTTCAGGTGAGCCCAACCCCAGCATCCCTGTAGGTGGAGTTTTAGTCCCGGGGAAGGGACGGATGGACGGCCTTCAGGTGAGCCCAACCCCAGCATCCCTGTAGGTGGAGTTTTAGTCCCGGGGGAGGGGGACGGATGGACGGCCTTTGGTAAGCCCAACCCCAGCATCCCTGTAGGTGGAGTTTTAGTCCCGGGGGAGGGGACGGATGGACGGCCTTCAGGTGAGCCCAACCCCAGCATCCCCTGTAGGTGGAGTTTTAGTCCCGGGGGAGGGGACGGATGGACGGCCTTCTGGTAAGCCCAACCCCAGCATCCCTGTAGGTGGAGTTTTAGTCCCGGGGGAGGGGACGGGATGGAACGGCCCTCTGGTAAGCCCAACCCCAGCATCCTGTAGGTGGAGTTTTAGTCCCGGGGGAGGGGACGGATGGACGGCCTTCAGGTGAGCCCAACCCCAGCATCCCTGTAGGTGGAGTTTTAGTCCCGGGGGAGGGGATGGATGGACGGCCTTCTGGTAAGCCCAACCCCAGCATTCCTGTAGGTGGAGTTTTAGTCCGGGGGAGGGGGCATGGATGGACGGGCTTCTGGTGAGCCCAACCCAAGCATCCCCGTAGGTGGAGTTTCAGTCCCGGGGGATGGGGGACGGGATGGACGGCCTTCTGTGGAGCCCAACCCCAGCAACCCTGTAGGTGGAGTTTCATCCCTGTGGACGGACGGCCTTCTGTGGAGAGCATCCCTTTGGAGTTTTAGTCCCAGGGGAGGGGGACGGGTGGACGGGATTCGTGATCACAGGACCGTTGTGATTGGATGTCACAGTAGTCATGTCAGGGTCCAGATCTGAACCCGTGACCTCTGTGGTGTCTGGTTGTGGCTGTTTTTTGCTCTGACACCTGAGATGATGGACAGCTCTGTATTTGATCTTTTAGGATGGGGGTCTCTAAACTTTATTAACAAAGCACCAGTTTACTGTCCCTCAAAATTTAGGAGGGACAGAACGGGGGAAGAAGAAAGTGTCCTGGTGTCGGTGGGAATAAATATTGCCCCGTCATTGGTGTCAGTTGGAGGAATAGTGCCCCATCATTGGTATCAGTGGGAGGAATAGTGCCCCGTCATTGGTGTCAGTTGGAGGAATAGTGCCCCATCATTGGTATCAGTGGGAGGAATAGTGCCCCGTCATTGGTGTCAGTGGGAGGAATAGTGCCCCGTCATTGGTGTCAGTGGGAGGAATAGTGCCCAGTCATTGGTGTCAGTGGGAGGAATAGTGCCCCGTCATTGGTGTCAGTGGGAGGAATAGTGCCCCGTCATTGGTGTCAGTGGGAGGAATAGTGCCCCGTCATTGGTGTCAGTGGGAGGAATAGTGCCCCATCATTGGTATCAGTGGGAGGAATAGTGCCCCGTCATTGGTGTCAGTGGGAGGAATAGTGCCCCGTCATTGGTGTCAGTGGGAGGAATAGTGCCCCATCATTGGTGTCAGTGGGAGGAATATTGTCCCATCATTGGTGTTAGTGGAAGGAATAGTGCCCCATCATTGGTGTCAGTGGAAGGAATAGTTCCCCATCATTGGTGTCAGTGGGAGGAATAGTGCCCCATCATTGGTGTCAGTGGGAGGAATAGTGCCCCATCATTGGTGTCAGTGGGAGGAATAGTGCCCCATCATTGGTGTCAGTGGAAGGAATAGATCCCCATCATTGGTGTCATCATTGTGGAAAGAATAGTGCCCCATCATTGGTGTCAGTGGAAGGAATAGTGCCCCATCATTGGTGTCAGTGGAAGGAATAGTTCCCCATCATTGGTATCAGTGGGAGGAATAGTGCCCCATCATTGGTGTCAGGAATAGTGCCCCATCATTGGTGTCAGTGGGAGGAATAGTGCCCCAAGGGCCAGGTTAAAGCAAGTAAAGGGCCACAGTTTGCAGACCCCTGTCTTAGGACAGTCTTGCCTTGTCTCATGTTTCTGGTGAACCTTGAACTCCTTGCTCGTCTCATGAATGTTCTGATTTAAGCCACACCCCTACACTTCCTGTTTGGTAGAATATTGTGCTCTCTCCAGCCTATAGCGCCCCCCGATGTGCGCCTGTCCACTTGATCCCAACCTGCAGCCACTTGTTACGACCTCTTGTCTTGTTTACTGACTACACCTCTGCTGGATCCCTACCTGGTACCGGACTCCGGCTTGTTCACCTCCTGAGGACCCCAACCTGGTATTACCACACAGCAGCAAAACCCATCCCCACCATCAGGAGCTCTGGTGACTGCTGGTTGGTGCTCATACTCCTCCCCTCGGGTGGGCCCCTGTCATCCCCCAGAATTACCTGCTCATGTACCTATCCTGCGGGTTGGTGGGAGCCTCCGCCTCCGCTCCTGGTCTCCAAGCTTGAACCCCGGAATGTCACAAGAACAGCCCTACCGCCTCCTGACCATGACCAGAGAGTGGCCTATGGTAGCTCAGTCACTGTGGTGGATCCAACACAAAGGAAAAAAAAGAAAATCAATCAAAAAAAGTAAATAATGACTTAAATATATCATAGAAGGGAAGGCCGGCTGCCCTCAGGACCAAATACAGACATCTATATACTCCGGCTGTAGGATGCTGAGCCAGGGACAGACCATTAGTCATGGGGGGGGGGGGGGGGGACAAGATGGAAGCCACTCTGGAGCGGTCAAGACTGACAGCGGTCAAGACTGACAGCTGGGAAATTGGTCATAAACACATGGACATAACAAAGGTCAGGACAGGGCAGAGGAGAGTATTCATTAAACCTAGTAAAGGTCAGGGCAGGCAGCAGACAGGAGAAGTATCCATTAGACCTAGCAGAGATCAGGGCAGGCAGCAGACAGGAGAAGTATCCATTAAACCTAGTAAAGGTCAGGGCAGGCAGCAGACAGGAGAAGTATCCATTAGACCTAGCAGAGATCAGGGCAGGCAGCAGACAG